GGCCATTGTCATCAAAATCAAGATGAATTTTTTCATGAATTTGGGCCAACTTAATAAGTTGTGTGGCCCTTCTTTTACCTCTTTTAGAATTTTTTTGTCAGTGACGAGATTCTCTATAATTTTCCTAAAACAAATAAGATAAATAAGGTCAGTGGCAAGAAATATAATAAATTTAAATTAATATAAAAATAAAAGTATAAAAAGTAAAATCAAATAAATCAAAAAGGTCCTATTATATTTGTTACCATTATAAAAATATTTTAGTTCTCTCATAAACCTTCATCATGATCAATTCTAACATCATATATGTTGTCTTCATCTTCCATATCCAATAGGGGCGGGGTTGTCACAAAAGGAAAAATCTCTTCAATACCAAAACTCATTTCATCATTCTCACTATGATTGAGGAGACTTTTTCCCAATAGAACTATAAATAACCTTTATCAGTTGGATTAGTGACATAAAAAACTTGTTTTGCATGACTTGTCATTATAAAAGCCTCATTCCTATATTTTGCCTTATTAAAATCCACTAAAGTAAAACCCAACTTGTCTTCTTGAACACCATTCTTAATATCAACCCATCTACACTTGAAAATAGGCACCTTAAATTTGAAGTAGTCAACTTTCCATATCTCTTCAATGACCCCAAAATATGATGAGGATGTCAATGTTGGATTTTTATCTTTTGCACTAGAAAAATGAGTTGCTTCAGCTACTACCATTACCCTACTATTTTGCATGGTGCTATTGTCATCCTGTATTTTTGTATAGAATAAATATTCATTAATGTCATATACACTCTAAGTAGTAACATCAAAGCTAGGCCCACTAGCTAACCATCTTATTACTTCTGAAACATTATACTTCTTATGATTCTCCTTTACCTTTGCCTTAAACCAGAGTAACAAATGTCTATTGTACTTACTTAGCAACCATTTATCAATCTTTTCAGGATATTGATATCTTAATTCCTTTTTGTGCGCATCCAAATAATCTTGCTTATCATTGGTGTTATTCAAGATGTACAAGTATGCTTGTTACATTTCATCATGAGTCATGCACTTTACTTTCATGCCTCATGTCCCTTACCCTTCAACTCTTACTTCCTCATGTAAGATTTGAGAATACTGATAGATTTGACTTCAGATAGGTATTCAATGCAAAACTTGACAACCTCCTCAGCAACATACCTTTCAACAATAGAGGCTTCCGGACGATGGGGATTCTTCACAAAGCCTTTAAGAATTTTCATGTATCGCTCAAGTGGATACATCCAATATGGATAGACAGGACTGCAAAACTATACCTCCCTCACTAAATGTATAATTAAATGTACCATGATGTCAAAAAAAGAGGGAACAAAATACATTTCTAACTGACATAAGATAATGACAATATCATTTTGTAACTCATATAATTTCTGAGGATCAATAAATTTGTTATAAATTATGTTGAAGAAGACACATAGTCTAATGATCAATTTTCTTACCTTTTCCTCTAATATGTCTCGAATGGCTACTGGTAACAATTGTTGCATTAGTACATGGCAATCGTGAGACTTTAAACTAACCAATTTTAAATCTTTCATTGATACAAGATTCTTGACATTTGAAGAATATCCTTATGGCACTTTAATATCATGTAGACACTTGTAAAAACTTCTTTTCTCTCTTTTAGACAAAGTATAAGGAGCTGGGCTTATGTAAGTTCTCTTTCCTTCTGTTCTTGGACTGAAGTTTGTTTATATTTCCATATCAAGTAAGTCTAGTCTTGCTTTAACTCCATCCTTTGTCTTCCCTTTATATCTAACAGTGTTTCAATAAGACTGTTACATATATTTTTTTTCACATGCATCACATCAACATTATGTCTCACCTCAAGGGTGCTCTGATAAGGGAGATTAAAAAAAGATTGACCTCTTCTTCTACTGATTCTTTTGAGCTTCTTTTTTCTTGCTCTTACCGAATACCACATTGATGTCTTTAACACATTCATATACCAAGTTTATAGTAAATGGCTTCGGAGCTTCATCATACTCTTGATAGCCATTGAATGATTTTTTCTACTTACGATAAGAATGGTCTCATCTCAAGAATATTTGATGACCAAGATAGACTGTATTCTTCCCATGTTTTAGTTGTTGATGGGATGTGTTTTCTTCACAGATAAGGCATGCTTTATGCCCCTCACACTGTATTTAGACAGGTTTCTATATGTAGGAAAATCATTTATTGTGCAAAAAATTATAGCTCATAACTTGGAAAGACTCATTTCAATGTGAATCAAACACATCCACACCTACCTCCCATATCATCTTCAAATATTCAATCAATGGTGCCAGGTAAACATCTATATCACTTCCTGGTTATTTAAGGCCTGAAATTATCAAAGACAGTATGATATATTTACATTTCATGCACAACCATGGAGGAAGATTATAAATCACTAACAGAACAGGCCACGAGCTATGTTGACTGCTAAGATTGCCATAAGGATTCATGCCATCTATACACAATCCAAGCTTGAGATTTCTAGGCTTATAGCTAAATTCAGGAAATAATTGATCAATTCGCTTCTATTGTGGAGAATTGGCTAGATGCCGGAGCATGCCATCAATTTTTCTCTCATCAGCGTGCCATCATAAGTTCTTGGCCTCATTTGGATTAACGAACAAGCGCTTAAACCTTGATATTATAGGAAGATACCATAATACCTTTGTTGGAGTCCCTTAGTAATCACTACTGTCTATTTCTTTTACTTGTAACATGATGCCCTACAAACTGGACATGCATGCAACACTTCAAAATCCTTTCTATACAATATACAGTCATTAGGGTAAGCATGTATCTTTTGTTACCCTAAACTTATTGGACATAATATTTTTTTGGCTTTATAGTAACTACTCGGAAGTATGTTAACCTTTGGAAGCATCTTTTTCAACAATTTAAGCAACTCTGTGAAACTCTTATTGCTTCATCCATATCTGGCTTTCAAGTTGAACAACTTTAACATCACTATTAGTCGTGTATATTTTGTACACCCTGGATACAAAGGAGTTTCTGAATCATTACATAAGCTATCATATTTATGCACTTTTTCAACAACTTCAATACCAATGTCACATAACATATCCTCTATTTGATCACCAAAATCCATATCATCATTCTCAACTTGTGGTATACTACGTTTTCTAGGTTCACCATGCAATACCCACTGTCTGTACGCTTTGTAAAACCCAAAACAAATTAGGTAATCCTTAATCTCCATAGAACTTCATCGCAACCCATTCAAGCACTTAACACAAGGACAATAGAACAATCCTTTATTATTAGGAACATTTTTCTTTGTAAATTCCAAAAATTGATCTACTCCCTTCTCATATTCATCACTTGTTCGCAAATCATCTATCCAACTACAGTCCATCATTACCTATTCTAAAAAAGCAAGATCTTATCCAACTACGGCATCATAACAATTTATAAAGTGAGATCTTTGACATACTAAATCCTTGAATTCTATCAATTTAACATTACTAAAATGCCAATTTCAACAAATTTTAACAAATATCAATTATTCAACTTCAAACATGGAAATTTAAAAAAATTTGACAATATAACAACTTATAAATTGAGATTTTTTCGGGCACTAAACCTTCAATTTGATCAATTTAAGTAAATCACATTTGGTATTTTGATAATTATCAACTCTAATCAATGATAAATAGTATAATTTATGATAATTGGTTCAGAATTCATCCCAATAAACTAACTTATAAAGAAATTAATCATATTAAACATAAAGAAATTAATATCATAGAGATTTGAAAAACAATCGACAGCATAACAACTTATAAATTGAGATTTTCCTAACACTAAACCCTCAATTTAATCAATTTAAGTAAATTTTAATTGAAATTTTAATAATTATCAACTCTAATCAACAATCAATAGTATACATCTTTGAAGAAAAAAATAAAAAAAACATAAAAAGTAACAAGAGGTAAGCTGTAATAAAAAAAACAAACTAATTAAGTAATAAATAATAATTAGTAACAATCAAAATTTATTCCAACAAATAAACTTAAAAAGGAAAAAATATTAGGAAAAGAAGATAAAAAAATAGTAAAAAAATTGAAAGCTAAAAATAATTAAGTAAGAAAATGGCTAAAAAATTACCCAAAAAAAAAAACCTTGGTGCGGCGGAGATCTGGAAGAGACAACAACTGGGGCGGCGGCGGCGGCTAGAGAGGTGGAGAGGTGAGCTATGGGAAATACAGCTAGAGGTGAGATAGAGGCAATGATTTAGAAGAGATAGCAACTAGGGCGGCAACAGCTGGAACTTATGGGCAGAGCTAAGGGAAAACAAGTTAAAGGAAATGAGCTGAGGGACAACAGTAGCAAAAAGAGCTAAGGGAAAGAAGCTATAGGTGAAAGCAGACGAAGTGATGCTGAGGGAATGCGTCTGAAATGAGTTGCGTCTGAATTTCAGACATATTAATGTCTAAAATTCAGACATCTTCGGCGATAAGCGCCCTCGTGCCTGTTGCCAAAGATGTCTAAATTCAAACATCTTTGGCGATAGGTGTGAGGGTGCCTGTGTAATAACCAAAATTTTTTTAAAAACAATTAGTCAAATAAAATCTATGCTTAGCTAATTTGCGTATTTTTATTTTGGAACAAATATGTCAAAAGATAATGGTGATTTAGTGGAGTTATACAAGTTAGAGATTTAACAAGTCATGGGTTCGCATGACCTAGAGTAGAAGTTTTATTTATTTTAATTTTAATTCTTCTTCTGTCTTCATATAATTACCAAAATGCCCCTTAGCCCAAAACAAAAAACAAAAAAAGAGGCCAAAACACGTGTTACTCTTTCCCTTTCCATTTTTCTCCTTTTTCTTCTTCTCTCTATCAGCGGAATGCTCCAGAAATCACAGAGAGAGGGAGTTCTTTGATTTTCTTTCCTTCTCTATCTTCTTCCATCTTCGGCATCGTCAGCATGAGAGGGTGCCAAAGCTTCGTCCATCGCTGCTCTACCAAGCTCATGGTGTTCCTCTTCCTTCCTTGTGTCAGATAATCAACGTCCTCCTTCCTGCGAGTAATGATGTGAATGTTCAGGTCCCTCTTCCCTTTCATTTTTCTTATCATTTGTCACTGCTGAAGACTATTGAAGCTCTGTCGAAGCTCTTCCTCTATTGACATTTAAGACTCTTCTTCCTTCTCTCCATTTGTCTACTACTAATCAACCAACTCTTGGCCTCTTCCTTCTGTTCTGTTCTAGATCAATCATACTCTTGCTCCTTCACTGTTGTTGTGGCTGTATAGGTGAGTTAAGATTGCATATTTCCTGTTGTTCGTGTTGTTGATCATCGATTTGCTCATCTTTTCTTTATGTGACAGTTACTTTCTCTTCCTTCCCTGTACAGACATGAAAGCTTTGTTCCTCTCTATTTGTGAGTTGATGATTTATTTAAGGTGAGAAGCCTTGATCTCTTTTCCTTTCCCTTGATAAATCATGTGCATGAGAATTAATAGTTGGAGTTGTAACTTTCCCCCTTTTATGTTGCTGCTGTCTGTGGCTGTGTAGGCAAGGAGAAATTTAGTTGAGTTGAAATTTTTTTATGGAAAGCATGATGATACTAGGTGTGGGTCTGAACTCTTAAGCTGAATCATTTTCATTTAAATTGGCTGATGTGGAAGAGGATGATTGAAATGAGATTTGGATAGAAGAGCCTACACTTATGATTTAAATGTTAGTTCCCATAAGACATTTGATGAAATGTTCACTGAAGGGAGTTGGTTGATTTTGTATCTCTGGAAATTCATTAAATCTCTTGGGAGACATAATTGACTTGGATATTATTAATTTTTTGTAAATTGAGCTTGGTATTGTGTAAGGATTGGCTTGTGAAGCTATTGGTAAATTATTTAAAATTTTGAGAATCATATGCTTATTGATAATTTACTAGACACGAAATGGAATATTAAAAAGTTTTAATTAAATGGTTGGGAATAATATATCTAAGGTGTTTGATGGGAAGCTTAAGAGAGAATTATATCTCAAGTAAATAAATTGGCATGGCCAAAGCAATATGGAGGAAATTAATGATATAAGTGATGATAATTGGACAAATTTTAAAATATGAATTTTGGTTTTTTTTAAACTTTAAATGGTGGTAGTTGATTGCAATTGAGTTAGAAGTGGAAAGAAATCCTATAATTTATAGGAATTTAATTAATTTTTCATTATTTCATATTCTTATAGGGAGTATGGAAGAAAATGATTTTTATAGGAGTTAAAAGGAGAAACTCTTTGAAAATTGAGAACATTACAGGTAAGTGGATAGCATCCCAACTGATTTTTTTTAATCAAAATTTCCTGTACTAAAATACTACATTTTGCTAGAAATCATTTTAATAGCATTAATGCGATTATTGGATATTTGTTGATTAACTTTATTTTATTTTCAAAATTAGCTTTATCAAATTTAAAATGTTATTTGATCAATTAAATAAGTTTGGACTTTGATTGAGATTTTTTATTTTATCAAATATTCTATTGATACAGAAAATGATTTATATGAATTTGACTTTGAAATTTTTTTTGATTATTCAATAAATACAAGCATGAGCATTAGATATGAAATTTTATTCTGGCAAGTTTTAATGCTTTAAAGTATTCATGCGAGTTTGATTTTGAGAATGAGAACTGTATCTTGAAAGTGATGATTTTCTTGCATGTTTGAAAATGGTTTTAAAAAGGGACTTTATATAAAACACTGATTGCTAACGGTAGTTCCATTAGTCCTTGGCACACCATGGTATACCTAACTAGTAGGGTGTTTATAGGAGGCACTAGCCCCGTGTGATCGCCAACATATGTGGAATGGAAGATGGTTATTTGTGAGCATTGTACTTACGTTTGTTTCGTGGCTTCAACCACGTTTAGTTATTTACTCTCGTGGACTGTGTATCCATGTTTGTTTCGTGGCTTTAGCTGTATTTGGTAACTAACCCTCGTGGACTGTGTGTCCATGTTTGTCTTTGTGGCAAGAGCCACATTTGGTTATTTACCCTCATGGATTGTGTCCACGTTTGTTAATTATTCTAATAAGTCCCCACAATATGAACTTGATAATTTTACATCCCATTGGCTTTAAGTAGTAAATTATTTATAATTATTTATTTGCTTCATTGTAATTAAGTGACGATAATATTTCATATGATATTTTAATAGCTAAAGATTTTATTTAAAACTTTATAGAATCCTTTTACTTTTGAAGTTATTAAATTTTTATGAAGATCATTGCCTCTTTAAATTGCGTGATTGTTTCAAACTTTTCTTTTATTCATGTCCAATTATTTATTATTGGGACATTATTCATTGGAAAAAGATATTTGGGTCTCAGATGGACAGTATAGTGGAACTTGTAACTCGAGGCATCCACTGAGGAATTCTATTGCTAAACGGAAGACAAAAAGAATTATTTTAATCAAATTCTAATTTGATGAAAATTTAAACTTTATACTTGCGTTGGAATCTGGCTTTAGGTGCTCCACATAGACTACAAGTAGGATTCTTACATTTCTTTTAAAATTTAATATCTGATTTAATAATGCAATCATTTTTAATTACCCTATTAGTGTGTTTAATGTATTAACTTCAAAGTTTCTCTGACCACAGCTTAAGGAATGTGAGTTTTATGCCCATATCCCATGCCAGTCCCACCTAATTTTTAGGGTGTAATAGCTTGTCACCGAATATGTTGAATTTTAGACATTCCTCATGCTTGTGGATGAAGATGTCTGAATTTTAGACATAAATTTGTTTGAAATTCAGACATACATTCAGTGATAGGCACCCTCGCACCTGTCATTGAAGATGTCTGAATTTCAGACATATAAAATGTTTGAAATTTAGACATACATTTGGCGAAGATGTCTGAATTTATATGTCGGAAATTAGATATTTTTTAAAATTTCAAAATGTTTGAAATTTAGACATTTAACTTTAGTAAGGTTGTCCAAATTTAGACAATTTGAATTCAAAAGTCTTAATTAAGACATAAATAAACAAATTATTTATTAAAAAATTTATTTTAATAAGTTAAAATAAAATTTAGTAATTAATAATCTAATTCTAATAAATTATGGTCATTAAGTATTTCTTATTTTAGATAAAGTAATTTATCTTAAATAATAATTATTAATAAAAATAATTAATATTATAATTAATAATTTAATTTATTATAGTTATTTTTCAAATTAATTACATTTAGATAATAAACAATTAGTAATAATTTAATTTAACTAATTAATTAAATTAAATTATTTATTTTTTAAAATATTCCTCATAATAATTTATGGCAACAGTTAATCTTAGGACTGTGGTTATAAATGAAATACTTTAAGCATTTAATTATGAAAAAGCTACTTGCTCATATATTGCCATAGGTTTTTGAGAAAATGTGGTGAGAAATGTGTCATTAAAATTAATTTTGCACTAGTTAATAGAAAGGGCTTTTCCATTATTATGTTGGTCTACCAAGAGATCGAGAAAGTAATGGTAAGGTAAGGAGAATGACAATTCCATATCTCACACTTGATCAAAATGCTGTGTCATAAAAGGAATGTGATACAGTTATATGAAAGGTTGCATCAGATTATTAATCTCTATATGAATTGGGTAGTTGTAATGTCTTGCTAGAGGCCACTTGTAACTTATGGGCTATTAGTATAATTAGCCTACTACCAACTTCATATGGGCCTGCAAGGTCACACATGAGAACAGTCCAACTCAAGCTGTAATGTCCAAATTCATTGAATTTGGAATAGTCTAGATTCAATGAATGTAATACAAGGTGAATGAATTATATATATATATATCTCATATTGAATATCTATTTAATAAATATTTATACATATACATAGATATATATTTTTTGAAATATATATATTCATGTGTGTGTATATATAATATATATATATATATATATGTATATGTATATGTATATGATATATGAAATTAAATATAATATATATATATATATATTTGAAATATATATGTGTATATATATATTCATGTATATATATAATATAATATGTATATGTGATATTATGTTATATTCTATTATGTTAGGTTTAAATTTAATTTTATATGATAGATTAAATTTAATAACTAATATAATATGAGAGAATATCATGTCATTTTTATAAGATAAATTCAAATTATATATGATATTATAGCTTTTATTTTAAGATAAATTTAATCTAATATTTTTATTAGCTCAATAAAGGATGACTAAAACTCTTATCTATATATATGGTATAGGAGGGAGCATGCTCTTTAAGATAAAGTTAGAAAAGTTCTTACAGCAAAACACTTTAAGAGCTACAAAACACCTTAAAGAAAGGGAAACTGAGGTTTAAAGATGAACGGACGTTGAAAGCACTAGTATGCTATTCAAGTCGGGAAGCTATTCGTGTGGATACCAATAGAGAGAGCAGATTTACGTTATCAGCTCCTAAGATCCAAACTCTTGAAGAGAACGTACGTTAAGATCTTGCAATTAAAAGGTAACTCTTCTATCTACCTTAACTTAAATGAGTTTGTTCAGTCCACATGGGGGTAGGGATTCAAAAATTTAATCTTTCACTATGCTTTCCTATCCAACAATAGCATCCTGAATTTCTTAATCCTATGATCAGTTATTTATTAAGGGTAAAGTAGTAATTAGTAGATGATTAGAGATTTAGATGGTTACTTGATAATTTGAGTATTTAAGATGTTGAATGAATAGATAAGGGTGGAAGGATCACATTTTAGGTTGAAGCATGTGTGCATAGTGAGGATTCTCCTTACTATGCCACACACTATGGTGTATGGACCAAAAAATGACCTTAAAAGTCATAGATCATCTAGTGAGCTCAGAAGGGAGAGAATAGGAAAACGTGAAAGAAGAAGAGAGGAAGTAAGGGTTAGCTAGGGCAAGCCTTTTTTAGCATTGGAAGGCACTTCTGACTAGTAACTTATTGGGTAAACTACATATAATCCTGACATTCCATTCTACCTAAATTTCTCTTGGTATAAGTTATAGAGAAATTTAAGAGGTTTGTTTCTTACCTAATGGTAATAAAAAATTCTCGAGAGTTAAATTAGAGCCTTGTGATTGGTTTAGGGTTAAACAATAGTGCTTTGAAATTGTGGATTAATTTGGCTCTAATTCAATGAAGATTTAGGGTGGGGCAATTGTGTTTAGTAGAAATGAGGTCATTTGAGGTGATGTAAATTGATAATCAAGCAGTAATAGACTTAGAATGGTTAAATAGAAATGAATAGATGACTAAATATAGCCTTAATTTATAATTAAGTAGTTTTGGTCAATTTAGACCAAATGACTTATTGTGCCAATTGCGTTTAGATTGGCGTATTTTGTGTGTGAGTTGAGAAAGGACGCTTATGATAAGCTGTAGTGTTATTGAAATCCACAAGTAACCTTTTTAGCGATAAAAAGATTAAGGTAACTGAATAACTTCTTTTGTTTAACTATTTATTGTAAGTGTGTGTTAGTATGCTATATAGTGCATGAAATTATTTTAAATTGAGCTTTTCTTATAGCATTGTATTTTTTATTGCATGAAAAGGGAACTTTAGTTAAACAAGTAAATGAAATGGTGTAATTTGATATAAAAACATATATATATATATATATATATTATATATACTATATCTATGTGTGTGTGAATAAGGTTAGCGGTGATTAGGAACTTATAATTGGTTCGAAAAGCATGATCATAGGGGTAGGAGT